AGTAGTTGGACTCATTTTGGAAGTTTTTGCTCTTAAAAAGTTCGAATTTAAACTTTTTTTTAATTTCTTAAGATGAAATTAGATGTTTTGTTAATATCTATAGGTTGCAAATAGCAGTATTTATAACAATTACAAACTACGGTTCTGGATATTTTAAATAAGAATTTCCAATTCATTACTTTTACTGTTCAATTGATAAATTCTTACGAGTAAAAAGGTTAGATTAATTCTCGACGCATTGAAATGACACAATTGAAATTTAATGGATATTGTAATTAAAATCATATTTATGCTATTATTAAATATATTGGATCTGATCTTTAATCAATACAATAGGATCCTTCCGAAAAATACTAACAGGAGGTTATTATCCACTTTTCTTGAGGATTAATTGGATAAAATTTTTTAACCAATCAGATTTAGTTTTTAAAGTTATATAACGATAATGGAGTCATTCGGATAATATCTAAAGAGAGGATGCAGTAATACACTTCGAAATATGTACGTAGTGCGTATATTTTAAAAGCTTAAATTTCGTAAATAAAATACACCTTTCTAAAAATTTTCATATGTGCAACTCTTAAGAGCGCCATATCTGACTCTCCTTAACTTTTTAGTATTGTTCGAATCCTAATACCTGTTTATATTATTAATCAATAATGCCAACCAAATGAATTTCGACAATTCTTCATTTATTGAAACGATTATAGAAGTAAAGAAAACCTTAAACACTCATTCCGAAGTTGCTTTTATCTTACAGGTAGTGATAGAGCTAATGACGCTAAAATAGGTGATTCAATAATTTTTTATGAAGTATCTCGACGAGTGGCAATCAAATTTCTTTTATCATCTGGTAGAGATGTGATAAAACAATAATTAGCCAGAATTTATAACAAAACTATTCAGTTTTACAATAAACTAATATTTAATAATATTTATTGTTTTTTAATTAACTTATATTGATAGAATTTTATAAAAAGATATGACAATTACTAATGTGTTTATCAACGTAACAATACAAAAAAGCATTTAAAAAAATTGGAAACGTTTAAAAAAATATCTGAAAACAAAATGAGTGAAATTATTCATGATAAACCATCTTTAAAACAATCTCTTAAAGTGATTTTTTTTTCTTCTAAAATTAACATATTATTGTTGTTAGTTCCCGTAGGTTTTGTTGTAAACTTTCTTAATTTGAATAAAGTCATCATCTTTGTAATAAACTTTCTTGTAATTATTCCATTGGCCAAATTGCTTGGGTTTGCAACTGAAGAACTTTCATGTGGAGTCGGACAAGTATTTGATAATTTAAATTAATCCTTTCATTTAATTTAAAATTTTCATTGTCTCAATATTCAATTTAATAAAAGGTCTTGGCAGCTTTATTGAATGTGACTTTTGGCAATGCGGTAGAATTAATAATATCGATAATAGCTTTGTCAAAGAGACAAATTCGCATTGTTCAGGCATCAGTTCTCGGATCTATATTTTCAAATATCTTATTAGTTTTAGGATCATGTTTTCTTGCTGGTGGAATCACCATTCTTAAAGAAGAACGTTTGGAACAAGAATTTAGTTCAACTGCAGCACAAGCAAGTTCTAGTGTTATGACTTTAGCGTGCATTGCTTTAGTCGTACCTGCTGCTTTTATCCTTGCTATAGATGGAAATTCTAACAGTACTATTGGTAATAGTGCTCCCAACGCGATTGATTCTAGAATCCTGCATTTAAGTTATGGAACTTCTATAGTGTTGTTCATAATATATATACTTTATTTATATTTTCAGGTATAATAAAATTTTTTACCATCGTCTAATTATTATCTACAATGCGCTTTTTATAGTTTATTTCTTTTTAATTAATAGTTAAAAACTCATAAAGATTTATTTAATAATGAAGAAAATGAAGAACCACAAATAAGCAAGAATATGGCATTATTTTTGCTAATTATAGTAACAGTGATAATTGGATTTTCTGCTGAATTTCTTGTTAGTTCAATTGAAGGAGTTGATTTAAGTAAAACTTTCATTGGGTTGATATTGTTACCTATTATCGGAAATGCAGCTGAGGTATTTAAATTTAATTCTACCATCATGATCATGATATTTTTCTTTAACCATTTTAAGACCTTAATATTGTTAATAGCACGCTACTTCTGTTACTGTTGCAATGAAAAATAAAATGGATTTTGCTATTTGTGTTACAGTTGGCAGCTCAACAGTAAGTTAATTAGGGATTGAAATTGTTATGATATAACGATAATGCTGGATGAAATAAAATTTAAAAAATCTTTTACTCTTGCTGATAAAATTATAGCAAATCGCATTATTTGTTATTCCTCTATTAGTAATATTGGGATGGATTATTGGTCAACCAATGTCATTGAACTTTGAGGTTTTTGAAACTGTATGTTTATTAATATCAGTTTTACTCTCAAATTACTTGGTACAGGTATGTTTTTTTAATATTGTAAAATTTTATAATAAAAAAAATCTATCTTAACCGTTATTGCATTTTTCATTTACTCTTAATTATAGGGTGAGTATTGTTTAACTTATTTTTTTTAATTCTTTTAATACAAATAATATAATCTGAACTTACTTTTTCAGATGGAAAATCAAACTGGTTAGAGGGTGCATTGCTTATTGCAACCTTTGCAATAATGGCATTGGCATTTTTTTTTATCCTGATTAAGTGATAAAATCTATAAACTATCAATATAATAGTTTGGTTAATAGTACGCAACATAATAACTGATGGTTATTTTTATATAGTTACTATAGCGTAATTTACTGTAGTAAAAAGGTTTTCTAGACTATTTTTATTAGAAAAATAAAGTATATTAATTTAGTTAGAATCATAATAAATTTTGTTAGTAATCTTATCCTTCCTAGGCAAATTACTAATTAATTCTTATTGTTCTTAATGTCAAGCCACATTTTATAATAATTATCAATGAATGTGATATCTCTAAATTTTGTTTTCATAAATCTTACAAATTCCAACAAATCTTGCTTATCACATGTCACATTTTTAGACTTTATATAGTAAATGTAAAACTTTACTTTAAGAAAATCAATAATTGTATTTTCATTATTTGTCAAAAAATTTAAAGAAGTTTGGTTTTTTGCAAATTCATCAAATTTTTCATTAACAACTGTATTTTCTAAATTAGAATCACAAACAAGTGTTTTGTTATCCTCTTCCTTAAAATTATTAATAATATAAAAATTTTCAGTAATAAAAGATGTCTTTTTCCAGATGATAAGATAATAGTAAAATCCTTGGCAAGAAACTTTAACAATAGAATATGAGGTGAAGTTAGAATCTAGTTCAACATGAAAACAATTTTTAT